TTACAATTGGCAAATGTGTGTGTGTTCTGGATATTTTGGACAGCATACTGTACAAGGCCGTTTGCCACGCTGGCACAGCTTGACTTGCTGGCACAGCTTGACACGCTGGCACAGCTTGACACGCTGGCACAATTAAACATGGTGATTGTGTCACCCACAGATGCGCCTTTGGAAGGCTACAGGCCAAGGGGATGCGTGAGCTTCCAACGAGCCGAGGCAGGAGAGGCAGTCAAAGACGAGAGATGGAGGACCTGCGGGGGGGAGGGTTGAATGGAGAGGGAGAGATACAGATGGTAACACCTTATGGGTATGGGAAAGGCAGGAGAGGGAAAGTGAGGGAGAGAGGTAGAGGACTTGAGGGGGGAAGGAGCGAATGGAGAAAATGATGCAGCGAGCATTTTCTCCTTTCGCCCCATCCCATGGGTATGAAACGGATAGAAAGGCGATTTCTGGAGAGAGGTAGAGGATTCAAGGGTGGAAGACTGGAAGGGAAGATGATAGAGCGAATGGCAACACCCTATGGTCATGAAAAGGATGACTAGGCACATTTGACATTGTGTGTGCATGTGTGTGCATGTGTGTGCATTTGTGTGCATGTGTGTGCATGTGTGTGTGAGCGTGCTAATGCTCATACACATGTGAGGGTTGAGTGCATGTGGTGCATGTGTGAGTGCGAGTGTGTGTGTGCGTGTGCACAAAAATGCTAGCATTTGTAGGTGCGTGCATGCACGGACGTGTGCATGAAGAAATGTGTGCATGCATGGACGTTTGCACACATGGACGTTTGCACACATGGACGTTTGCACACATGGACGTTTGCACACATGGACGTTTGCACACATGGACGGTTGCACACATGGACGTTTGCACACATGGACGTTTGCACACATGGACGTTTGCACACATGGACGTTTGCACACATGGACGTTTGCACACATGGACGTTTGCACACATGGACGTTTGCACACATGGACGTTTGCACACATGGACGTTTGCACACATGGACGTTTGCACACATGGACGTTTGCACACATGGACGTTTGCACACATGGACGTTTGCACACATGGACGTTTGCACACATGGACGTTTGCACACATGGACGTTTGCACACATGGACGTTTGCACACATGGACGTTTGCACACATGGACGTTTGCACACATGGACGTTTGCACACATGGACGTTTGCACACATGGACGTTTGCACACATGGACGTTTGCACACATGTTGCACACATGGACGGTTGCACACATGGACGGTTGCACACATGGACGTTTGCACACATGGACGTTTGCACACATGGACGGTTGCACACATGGACGTTTGCACACATGGACGGTTGCACACATGGACGTTTGCACACATGGACGTTTGCACACATGGACGTTTGCACACATGGACGTTTGCACACATGGACGGTTGCACACATGGACGTTTGCACACATGGACGGTTGCACACATGGACGGTTGCACACATGGACGTTTGCACACATGGACGGTTGCACACATGGACGGTTGCACACATGGACGTTTGCACACATGGACGGTTGCACACATGGACGTTTGCACACATGGACGTTTGCACACATGGACGTTTGCACACATGGACGTTTGCACACATGGACGGTTGCACACATGGACGTTTGCACACATAGACGTTTGCACACATGGACGTTTGCACACATGGACGTTTGCACACATGGACGGTTGCACACATGGACGTTTGCACACATGGACGTTTGCACACATGGACGTTTGCACACATGGACGTTTGCACACATGGACGTTTGCACACATGGACGTTTGCACACATGGACGTTTGCACACATGGACGTTTGCACACATGGACGTTTGCACACATGGACGTTTGCACACATGGACGTTTGCACACATGGACGTTTGCACACATGGACGTTTGCACACATGGACGTTTGCACACATGGACGTTTGCACACATGGACGTTTGCACACATGGACGTTTGCACACATGGACGTTTGCACACATGGACGTTTGCACACATGGACGTTTGCACACATGGACGTTTGCACACATGGACGTTTGCACACATGGACGTTTGCACACATGGACGTTTGCACACATGGACGTTTGCACACATGGACGTTTGCACACATGGACGTTTGCACACATGGACGTTTGCACACATGGACGTTTGCACACATGGACGTTTGCACACATGGACGTTTGCACACATGGACGTTTGCACACATGGACGTTTGCACACATGGACGTTTGCACACATGGACGTTTGCACACATGGACGTTTGCACACATGGACGTTTGCACACATGGACGTTTGCACACATGGAGTGCATGCATGCGAGCATGTATTCCCGTGCGAGTGAACCAGGATACACACTGAAGCGCAGCAAACAACCTGCCAGTTTCTGATCATCCCCCCGAGCAATGCATGGTGCATGCATGCATGCATGCATGAAGCTTTGCATGCGTGCATGTGAGCATGTATTCACATGTGAGTGCACCAAGGCTCGGAGGGAGTGTTGAGTACTCACCACTTTCTGATCATCCCCTCCCGTTGCAATGCATGATGCGTGCATGCATGCATGTGAGCATGTATGCACATATGAGTGCACCAAGGCACGGCGGGAGAGGAGAGGGCAGAGAAATGTGCTTACCACTTTCTGATCATCCCCTCCCGTTGCAATGCAAGCGTCATCGGGTGCCACTGCCACCTGCCATGGAGGACCAAAGGGAGAGATGAGCAAAGGGGGAAAGAGGAGCAAAGAATAACATTTTGAGATGTCTCAAAGGGCAACGCAAGCGTCATTGTGTGGCACTGCCACCTGCCCATGGAGGGAGAGGGAGGAGAGAAGATAAAAGGCCGAACCATTGTGGAAAAGGTAGATAAGGCAAGGATGCAAACGACAGATTCTCAAAATAGAAAAGAGTAAGGAAAGGAATGCAATTGTAAGGATAGTTTCAAATTATCTACATGTAGTGTAGGTAGGTTCATAACGAGTATGAGTGGAACTATGCAGTGTGTCAACCAATTTATGGAATGGCATACAGTGTTGATGGATCGAGCGTGTGCGAAGGAGAAGGCAATGAGTGGGTCGGCCAGAGTGGCGTCCCACACAGCCATGCTGCAAGGGAATCGGGGAATTGGGGAGAGAAGGGAGGAGAAGGAAAAGCTGCAAGGTAAGCAGAAGAGACGATTGTTTATTGAGCCCAGGTCCAAGGAGAAGGCAACGAGTGGCGTCCCACACAGCCACACTGCCATGGGACGAGGCAGAGCATGGCAGAGCATGGCAGAGCATGAGAGCAGAGCAGAGAATGAGAGCGTGGCAGAGCATGAGAGCGTGGCAGAGCATTCATAAGCCCCACCTGCCATTGCCACTGGCAGTCACAAGGCCAGGCGAGGCAGAGAGCCAGCGAGCGTCGTTCACCCCCTCGTCCCCACAATCCACAAAGCTGCAATGGAAAGCGTGTGTGTGGTGGGTGGGGGGGGGGCAGGAAAGTGGGGTCAGCAACATGCCCCGTGCCGCATGCCCCGTGCGCCATGCAGCATGCCCCATGCACCATGCACCATGCACCATGCGCCATGCGACATGCGCCATGCGCCATGCGACATGCGCCATGCACCATGCACCATGCACCATGCCACATGCACCATGCACCATGTACCATGCACCATGCCCCATGCACCATGCACCATGCGCCATGCACCATGCACCATGCACCATGCACCATGCCACATGCACCATGCACCATGTAATGCACCATGCTCCATGCACCATGCACCATGCGTCATGCACCATGCACCATGTACCATGCGCCATGCACCATGCACCATGCACCATGCCACATGCCCCATGCACCATGCACCATGTACCATGCACCATGCCCCATGCACCATGCACCATGCGCCATGCACCATGCACCATGCACCATGTACCATGCACCATGCCCCATGCACCATGCACCATGCACCATGCCCCATGCACCATGCACCATGCGCCATGCACCATGCACCATGTGCAATGCAGCATGCACTGTGCACCGCACTGTATTCTGCACACGCCGCGTAGTGAAACTTGCAACATCCCACCCCACCCCATGCATTCCTCCCCCCCGTCGTCCCCTCCTCGCCTCTCCCATCACACCCCCATACTGCACTGAGTGGTGCACAGTTGGCATGGTTGGGGCCAAGAGGGGCCGGTACCGCGCCTCATCACACACCACACCACACCACACCACACCACACTACACCGCACCATACGACACACCCACCCTGCATGCTGCACGGAGCGCTGCACTGACGGGCACTGAGGGGCACTGACGGCATGGGTGGGCTGTGCGAGAGAGGTCAGCACCATGCCCCATCACACACACACACAAGCACACACCACACTACACCACACCACACCACACTACACCACACCACACTGTTAATGTTAGCCCTCAATCTCACCTTTTGTACTTGTACTTTTAATATCCTAGCTTAGTGTAGTTTGCACTTTGTGTTTGGTTGGGTGTACACCCACATTCCAACCAAACCCAAATGTGATCACCAAGCAATCTCCAACCCACCAATTGGAGATTGCCTTGGAATTACCCCCAATCCCTAGGGATTGCCCCCGATTCCTCCCCATCCACACCTTGCTCATTTCGGATGTACTTAATGAGCTTCAAGCTCATTACTAATGCATCGATTCTAAGCTCAGTTCTCGCACACACCACAACACACCACACTCCCACCCCGCACCACCACACACCAACCCCACATGCTGCACCGATGGCACTGGCGGGCCGTGGGAGAGAGGTCAGCACCATGCCCCATTACGCACACACACCACACCACACCACACCACACCACACCGCACACCCACCCTGCATGCTGCACGGAGTGCTGCACTGACGGCACGGGCGGGCCGTGGGAGAGAGGTCAGTACCGTGGCCCATTACATACACACACACCACACCACACTACACCACACCGCACCACACCACACCGCACCACATGGCACCACACAAGACCGCACCACCCACAGTCACTCACCCCGCATGCTGCACGGAGTGCTGCACTGACGGCACGGGCGGGCCGTGGGAGAGGCAGAAGAGAGCGCGCAGAGGCGGGGAGGGGCAGGGGGAAGGGAGAGGAGAGGAGGATGGAGGAGGGTGGGGCGAGGAAGAGGAGGGGGGAGCGGAGGAGGAGGAGGGGAGCCAGCGGGAGTCGAAGAGGAAACAGCAGTTGGCAGAGCAGGCAGCGTGGAAGAACCGACCACACGGGCTGAACGCTGCTGACGTCACCTGGGGGGTTGCATGGCCGGTGGGCGGAGAGTGGTATGGGGTGCATACGTTACTGGATGGAGCGGTGGGGTTTGGGGCGAGCAGAGAAGAGAAGACAGCACTTGGTCGTGTGGAAGAATCGACCACAGGGGCTGAACACTGCAGACGTCACCTGGAGGTATGTTGGGGGAGTGGGGGGTTATGCGGTGCATGGGGGGAAGGAGTGGCGGGGTATGCGGTGCATGGGGGGAAGGAGTGGCGGGGTACGCTGCGCATCAGCTCAACCTCTGGCCCCGTGTCTCCTTCCCGGAGACCTCGCCCACACTGCTGTGGACGGGGGAGGTTGGCGATGCGTCGCGTTTCCGGGTCTGGGGATCTCGAGCTTTTGTCCGCGATACGTCCGCGGACAAGCTCTCCTCCCGCGGTGTTCCTTGTGTCTTCCTTGGCTTTGTCCCGGACGCGTCTGGTTGGCAGTTTTACCACGCCACCTCGCGCCGTGTCCTGCCCTCTCAGGACGTCACTTTTGACGAGTCGGTGCCCTACTACCGCCACTTCCCCTACCGCACTGCCCCGCTCCCCCCCCCCGCCTCTCTTCCTCACACCAACTGCTCCTGTGGTAGACCCCCTCCCCCCTCAGGGTGCCGCTCCCTCAGGTGTGTCCCAGGTAGACCCGGTTGAGCTTGTCGAGGTAGCTGTCGACTCTCGTCCTGCTAGGGGGTGCAGAGCCTGGGGGTGCGGAGCCTGGGGGTGCGGAGCCTGGGGTTGCGGAGTCTGGGGGTATTGAGCCTGGGGGTGCGGAGCCTGCGGGTGCTGAGTCTGCAGGTGCTGAGTCTGGGGGTGCTTAGTCTGGGGGTGCTGAGCCTGGGAGTGCTACACCTGGAGGAGCTCTCTCCTCACAGCAGCTGCGTGAGTGGTACTTACAGTACTGCAGCCTCAGGAGAGGTGCTTCTGGAGCTAGGAGTGCTGCTGGAGCTGGTGCTAGTGCTTCCCCTCCTAGGCGGGAGCTGCCCTCTCCCCAGCGGCTCCGAGAGTGGTACGCTCGGCGCTGCAGTCTCCGGAGTGGCGCTCCTAGTGTCGCGGACCCTGGTGCTGGAGCTGCTGGCGGTGCTGCTGGTGCTGCTGGAGGTGCTCCTGGTGCTGGTGCTGCTGGAGGTGCTGCTGGTGCTGGTGCTGCTGGAGCTGCTGGAGGTGCTGGTGCTGCTGGCGCTGCTGGAGGTGCTGCTGGTGCTGGTGCTGCTGGAGCGGCTGGAGGTGCTGCTGCTACTGGCGGTGCTACTGGCGCTGCTGGAGGTGCTGCTGGTGCTGGTGCTGCTGGAGCAGCTGGAGGTGCTGCTGCTCCTGGCGGTGCTGCTGGTGCTGCTGGAGCTGCTGGAGGTGCTGGTGCTGCTGACGCTGCTGGAGGTGCTGCTGGTGCTGGTGCTGCTGGAGCTGCTGGAGGTGCTGCTACTACTGGAGGTGCTGCTGCTGCTCGCGGTGCTGCTGGCGCTACTGGAGGTGCTGCTGGTGCTGCTGGAGCTGCTGGAGGTGCTGCTGCTGCTGGCGGTGCTGCTGGCGCTGCTGGAGGTGCTGCTGGTGCTGGTGCTGCTGGAGCTACTGGAGCCGCTGGTCCTGGAGGTGCTCGTACTGGAGGTACTGGAGCTGCTGGGACTGGGCCTGCTGAGGGGGTTGGAGCTGGAGGTACTGAGCGGCCGCGGCCGTACTACGTTCCGCTCCTTCAGCAGGTTCTTGGTCTCCCGCCCTCTACTGGTCCTTCTCCTCCCCTACTGAGTCCACCGTCTGTCCAGTCGCAGTCACAGTTACAGTCTGCCTCTCCGCTGCCTGCTCCTTCTCCTTACACTGCGCCGACGGGTAGTCTTACGGAGCGTCGTGAGCCTGAGTCTCGTCCTCCGTCGCCTGAGTCTAGTCCTGCGTCTCCTGAGTCTCGTCCAGAGTCGCCTGTCCGCGCTGCCCGCACTGGTCGTCGTGTTCCGCGTGAGCGTCCTCCTCCTGCGTCCTTCCACTGCTCCACAGCGTGTCCCTCTGCCGTCTCCTCCTGCGTCCTCTCTTCCTGACGTTGCTGACCCGCCGTGAGACCTTACTCGTGCTGCCAGTCCTACTGTCGCGCGTCTCCTTGCCACTGTTGTCACTGACCCTTCCTTTGAGTCCTCTGCTGCGTCTGCTCTAGTCGCTGAGCTTGTTGACTTTGCTGCCGCCTGTCGTCTAGACTACGCCGCTAGCCTTGTTGCTGAGTCTGAGTCTGTCTGTCCTCCGTCCGTCGGGGGTGAGTGTGCTCTTGGCACGGACGTCCTTGAGGACAGACAGGAGGAGTTTGAGTGCTTTGCTGCTGCTTTACCTCATCTCGTGTCCATGCTGATTGCCCCTGAGGGAGACCCGGATGCACCAGACATCCCGACCCCACGCTCCTACGCAGAGGCGATGGAGGGTCTCTACTCCTCTCAGTGGCAGACAGCCATGGACGCAGAGATGGCTTCCTGGAAGTCCACAGGCACCTACGTCGACGAGGTTCCCCCACCTGGGGCGAACATCGTCAGTGGCATGTGGATTTTCAGGGTGAAGCGGCCGCCGGGTTCTCCGCCTGTCTTCAAGGCGCGTTACGTTGCTCGAGGCTTCAGTCAGCGAGAGGGAGTTGACTTCTTCCATACCTTCTCCCCGACCCCGAAGATGACCACTCTTCGGGTTCTGCTGCACGTCGCTGCTCAGCGTGACTACGAGCTCCACTCTCTTGACTTCAGCACTGCGTTCCTACAGGGCAGCCTACACGAGGAGATCTTGCTGCGCCGCCCACCTGGCTTCACTGGGTCGTTCCCTCCTGGTACCCAGTGGAGCCTCCGGCGGCCAGTCTACGGTCTCCGCCAGGCACCCCGTGAGTGGCACGACACACTGAGGACTACGCTTGCGGCTCTTGGGTTTGCTCCTTCTACTGCTGACCCGTTGCTGTTTCTACGCACCGACACCACTCTGCCGCCGTTCTACGTTCTCGTGTACGTCGACGACTTGGTCTTTGCTACTGCTGACACAGAGGCACTCGCCCACGTGAAGTCGGAGCTGCAGAAGAGACACACGTGCACAGACCTGGGTGAGCTGACAAGCTATCTTGGCTTGCGGATCACCCGGGACAGAGCATAGCGCACCATCACCTTGACTCAGTCACACATGGTGCAGCAGGTCCTTCAGCGCTTCCGCTTCACGTACTCCTCGCCTCAGCCCACTCCTCTGCCTACCGGTCACTCGCTCTCAGCTCTGCCTTCGGATGAGTCCGTAGAGCCGAGTGGCCCGTATCCAGAGCTTGTGGGCTGCCTCATGTACCTGATGACCTGCACTCGACCTGACCTTGCATACCCTCTTAGCATCCTAGCACGCTATGTCGCTCCTGGCCGTCACCGGAAGGAGCACATAGATGCCGCTAAGAGGGTGTTGCGCTACTTGTGCAGTACGTCGGGCATGGGGCTTGTGCTTGGAGGACGGCGCGACGTTGTCCTCACTGGACACTCAGACGCTTCTTGGGCTGACGACCAGGCTACGCAGCGGTCGTCTCAGGGTTACACCTTCAGCCTTGGCTCTGGCTCTGTTTTCTGGCGTTCTACACGCTCTTCCTCTGTTCTCAGCTCCAGTTGTGAGGCTGAGATCTACGCCACAGCCATGGCTGCCCAGGAGCTACGCTGGCTCACCTACCTGCTGACCGACCTCGGAGAGCGGCCTCGTTCTCCTCCAGTGCTGTACGTCGACAACAAGGCAGCCATTGCCTTGTGTCAGGAGCACAGACTGGAGCACAGAACGAAGCACATCGCTCTGCGCTACTTCCTTGCTCGAGAGCTGCAGCAGCGTGGTCAGCTTCGTCTCTCGTACGTGGCCACTCGGGCCAACACTGCTGATGTGTTCACCAAGGCGCTTCAGCCTTGTGATCATCAGCGTTTCTGTACTGTTCTAGGCCTTGTGCCTACTCTCCCTCACTTGCTCACTTCTTGACTCTGCTTGTACTGTGATCTCTATATATATACCTGCATGCTTGCACTTGCTAGGTTGTGATCACTGTACCTCTTGTTATATTATCAAACTGCATGTGAACTGGTCTTGTGACCATTTGCTTGTGCTCGGAATTTGTGTGGTATCCTTGAGATCCACCCTGAGCTTGTTTTGCTTTGCTTTGCTCTGATTGGTCTTGTGACCATCTGGTTTTCTCCCACTTAGCCTATGGGGGTGTGTCAAACATTGTATATGTTTATATTCTGTAGGCTATAGTGGGTTTAGCCTTAGGGGGTACAACATTCTAGGGTTTCCTACTTGTACTCCCAAACTTGTTAGTTCAAACACACTTGTTGATTCTAACAATAGTGGAATAGGAGACGACAAAAGAACAGACATGGTTAGAAAACAAAACCCAAAAAAACGGAAGCAGGAACTTGCATTGAAATCCATACCACGGTATGCGCCGACCACGCTGGATGATGCAACGCATTGGGCGGCAACGTGCCTGACAGAGTCGAAACACAAGCAAAAAAAACTGTTCGTCGTCAGACGTAGAAATAATTGTAGGAGATTTTGCATGCGCTTGACACAAGGCGACTGGAAGTACTTGAACTTGGCGACTGCAGTAACAGAGGCGAGAACAAAGAACAACGACTGCTGTAACAGGCGAGAACAGAGAAACGCGACTGCAGTAACAGAGGCGTGAACAGAGAAACGCGCCTGCAGTCACATCAGCGGGAAGGAAGGAGATAGAAGTCAGACAAGTGACTTCCCTTGTGAGCGAACTAACAGATTGTAAGAAAAATGACGAGAGGTTGGAGCATACTGCTCGTAAAAGCGCCAGTGAGATGAGGAGCAGGGGGGTAGTCGGATGAAATGCTCCTCACCTCACTACCACTTGCACACTTCGACGGATAGCAGGTTGGACTGAACGATCTTGCGACAGTGGGGGCAGAGGCGATGACGAATAAGAGAGGTGTGACTTCCCTAGTAACAGCTCGTCGAACTGATAAAAGGAGAGGTCGGATATAGAGCTCGTGAAAAGAAGCGAGAAAACGAAGAAGACTCACCCACCTCTCCTGTGAAAGCCTGGCGACAAAACCGCCCACAGACGTACCTACGAGGCAACTGCCAGCGTGGCGTCGGGAATGCTGATATGGCCCCTCAGCTCACAGTGACAAAGGGGTATCTGCGACTGATTGGAAATCCCAATCAGCCGCGCTGTCACAGGCGTGAGCAACGTGGACACAAATTGATGTTCGGCGACCAGCGATGCACTGCTCAACAATCGCACAGGCGTGCTTTGCTGGTGCCAGTTTCACGAGCACCGCTGTTACAGCTCGGCAGTTTCACGAGCATCGCTGTACACACAATATATGCCTAGAACCCACCCTTTTACATTCACATTTTCATCCCATACCCAATTTTGGGTGTCAAATAAATGAACAAACCATCTGACACAAATAGTCACAAACATAGGCGATAACTGACCATAGGCAACAAGAAGCCTCCGGATGGTGAGGTTTATGACTACATTGTCCGTAGTTTCTGAAAACAAGACACATGATACACAAAGTTCAACCATTCAAATTCAGACACTACAATTATGTATATATATAAATACCATTCTGTATACTGAATATGCATGTAAATGGAAAATTAAAACGAAACAAATATATAGAATCGTGGATTAAATACAAATAGGGCACTAAACTGCTCGCAGTAACATGATTGGCTATCCCTGCACAGATTTAACCCGCGTTGCATACGGACGCTTGCTTGCCTATCTAAATAAGTTGCAAATGATCTCAAAGCCGGACAGTCTCACCTAAATACATTGTAGAGGCTATCGGTAAAAAGAAGCGGGATTAAAAAATACAAACACGGACCAAAACTGCTGAATGGCTATCTTTGCACGGATTTGACCCGCGTTGCATGTTAACGGGAATAGAGTCTTGGCCCCGCCCTCGTTTGGTCGGATGTATGGGAGAAGCTACGTGCTGCGTAGTTGTGCATGTCAAACATTATATGTTCATATTGTGTAGGCTATAGTGGGTTTAGCCTTAGGGGGTACAGCTTTGTTAGGGTTTCATACTTGTATCCCCCTCCTACCTAGTTTCATTCATTCTCGTTCTATTCTAGATTCTAACATGGTATCACGAGCCTAGGTTGCTACCTAGGACCGCTTTCTACTATGGGCCCACTATTCCGCTAGAAGCGCCCTCGTGCGCCCTACCTTACGTGCGCCATCGTGCGCCTTTCTCTGCTCGTGCGCCTTCGTGCGCCCTCGTGCGCCCTCGTGCGCCCTCGTGCGCCCTCGAGCGCTCTCGTGCGCCCTCGAGCCGCCCCTGCAGGTCCGTCAGGCCCCCGAGCCGCCTCTGCAGACCCGTCAGGCCCCCCCCGAGCCGCCTTTGCAGGCCCGTCAGGCCCGAGAGCCGCCCCTGCAGACTCGTCAGGCCCGCGCGCAGCCTCTGCCCGACCGCGCACCGCCCCTGCAGGCTCTCGCCGCCCGCCGCGTCGCCCTGCCCGCGGCGTCGCCGCCTGCCCGCGGCGTCGTCACCTGCCCGCGACGTAGCCCCTGCCCACGGCGTCGTCGCCTGCCCGCGGCGTCGTCGCCTGCCCGCGGCGTCTTCGCCTGCCTGCGGCGTCGTCGCCAGCCCGCGACGTAGCCCCTGCCCGCGACGTCGTCGCCTGCCCGCGGCGTCGTCGCCTGCCCGCGGCGTCGTCGCCTGCCCGCGGCGTCGTCACCTGCTCGCCGCGTCGCCCTGCCCGCGGCGTCGCCACCTGCTCGCGGCGTCGCCCTGCTCGCGGCGTCGTCACCTGCTCGCCGCATCGCCCTGCCCGCCGCGTCGCCCTGCTCGCGGCGTCGTCACCTGCTCGCCGCGTCGCCCTGCCCGCGGCGTCGTCACCTTCCTGCCACGTCGCCCTGCCCGCGGCGTCGCCACCTGCCCGCCGCGTCGCCCTGCTCGCCGCGTCACCCTGACCTAATCCGCGCCTGGCCTCTGGAGCAGCCGCCCCTGGCCACTGGAGCAGCCGCCACTGCAGGAGCCGCCCCTCGCCCTTGGAGCAGCCGCCCCTGCAGCAGCCGCCCCTGGCCCCTGGAGCAACCACCGCTGCAGCAGCCGCCCCTGGCCCCTGGAGCAGCCGCCACTGCAGCAGCCGCCCTTGGCACCTGGAGCAGCTGCCGTCGCGGCCCGGCCTCGCCGTGCAGCAGCTGCCGTGGAGCTCCCTGCTGCGGCCCGGCCCCGCCCTGCAGTTGTAGCGGCCCCGCTGTCGCCACCGTCTTGCGCCTGCCGCGCCGACCACTGGTGAGCATTGCCCTGCCAGCACTGCTACCGCTGCTACTGCTGCTACTGCCTTTTCTACTCCCACTGCTACTGCTCCTGCTGTTACTGCTGTTACTGCCGCTTCTGCTGCTACTGCTGCTCCTGGCGTGGCCAGATGCAGCTCCAGGGCCGTGCGCGTGAGTCCCTCACGCCCCAGCAGCTTCGTGAGTGGTACGCTAGTTGGGGCTGTCGGGGTGGCCGTAGTGGTAGTCGCTCTGGAGTGGGTCGGTCGGGAGCTTCTGGTAGTGGACAGGTGCAGCTG